AATTATTTACCGAATTACTCTACACTTTTTATTTATTAAAATACGCTCTTCTGTGGACTGGACAATGGAAGTTTTAACAATTTATACCATCAATCTTCACATTACTATAACTAATTATAATTTAGTATTGAAATATAAAATATATTTTAATACATTTATAAGAAAAAACTTTTAATTGAATACAAATTAGATTTTTGGGATCAGGTTTTTACAAATTCTCATTTTTTTAGGTTTAGTGTAATGTTAATGTTTTATGTTATGTTTTTCTTAAGAACACGGGAGTTTCGAGCGTGCTATATTTTTCGAAATTTTGCGTGCCTGTAGGTTTTTATTTCTTCTATTCGTTATAAATCATTTATGATTTAAACTTAATTGATATTCTAGCGAGTGGTAGTAATAATTGATTATTGAAAACGAGTCAGTGACCATAAATTTATTTGCAAATCGGTCGAGCGTTAGTATAAATAATATTATTAATTATTTTGTTTAAAAACTCTACTAAATTATATGTATAGGTTTCCGAATTCAATTAAAAATCTCTAATTAGTCAATATGATAACATATTGAAAGACCTATGCCTATACAATTTATTATGGTTATAATAAAAAATATATTATAAACAATCTAAATTCAATTAAAACACGAATTAATAATTTTTCGACAAGTAAGGCACATTACGTTTTATCCCTGAGTTTACATCGTTATTTTATTGTAATTATTTTATGAAAACCAGAAAAAATAGTTAGAGCATGACTGCGAAAGATATGAATGAACTACGGGAATTATTTCCATAGGAAACATTAAAATTAACCAACAATAAATTGAACTATTGGTAACTAAGGGAGCTAAGCGGTTATAAGCTTCTCAAATTACTTAATGACAATCATACCCCTCTCAAACAATTGAAAAATGTAACAACATTATTAGTGAGGCTCAGTACTTATTGTATAGAAAATATCAAAATATGTTATGCAAAAAATGCACGTTTTTTTAAAAACATCAATGTATGTAAAAATATATGTATGAAAAAAAAAAATTCTGCATCGTACCAAATTTGATAAAAATGTAAGAAAAAACTGTCGAAAGACTTAAAACTAATAACTTATTAGCCGACTCTTAGTAATAAGCTATTATTTTGTTAGCTTTTAAAACAACATTATTTAATTAATAATAAATGGTCTGAAATTTCGAATCACTGGACGCTCATCTATACCTTCCCCTCCCACATTTCAAAAAAATATCTTTTAAACAAAATATTACATAACAATCTTATGCATACGTAAATTATTGTTATAGTGTACCTATACATATAATTTTTAGGCCTATATATAAGTTCTTGCGGCAATGTGAAAATCAAATTATGTATCTTATACGAAACCTTGATTTCAGAGTGTTTTGACACATTCTATTTATTCGTCGTCATCGTAATTCAAAAGTAATAATATTTATATACAATATCCAACTAAACGCCGTATACTATCTATTATAGACTAGTGGTATAGTAAGTATTTAAAAAACACAGCTCGGGGCCATTGACTTTTCAAAGGGCATCTGGCACCTTCTAGCCCTCGTAATAATAACTATATAACTGATACACGCGTATAAATCGTATACCTATTAATAATTAGGTTTATCTATATACAAACATAAATAGACATATTCCATTGATTGTTATTAAAATAACTATACTATATTATATGTTTTTGAGTTTTGTTATGTATATATATATATATATATGTGTGTGTGTATGTATATGTGACTTTTTTGTGTCTCGTAGTGTACACAATTTTTCAAAATAACTGGTTAAATAATATTTTTGTTCTTGTTTTTGGCTTTTTGTATATAATATTTGGTTCTATCACAATAAAATAATCAATAATGTCATACCAGTATAACCCGTATGTATTATGTAAAAAAAATATACATATTTATATATATATATAGGTATACAAGTAATTTTATATTAAACGATGAATAGAGCTGTTCAAATTTTCGAAAACGTAGTAAACACGTGAGTAGCACGTAATCGAAATAAAAATACTCTTCAACGAGGTCAAAAGTGGTTATTATATTCATTACTATAAGTAGTGAACGTTATAAATTTTATTTTATTTTTTATTTTTTTTAAAATGTAATTAATGTTTATTTTGTTTATGAAATAATTGAACGTTTATACAATTAAATTAAAAATAATATATGTGACGTTGGTTGATTGTTTTTCCATTATTATAATATACTTACCCGGTTACTGCAGATCAGATTTATATTTTATACAGTTCTGTATATAGTCTGTTCATACATAAGTTATTAAAAATTCCTATCCGTTATTACGCGGTTTTGACCTGAAAATATATTTTTTTGACCTAGTCGTTCGAGAGGACCTTTTTTAAAATTCGTCTGTTATTTTTTTAAATAATAGGGAAAAGTTGAAAAATGTTCACTGGTTATGGAAAAAATCTTGAAGACGCGCAGAGATTTAAAATTTTAAACGAATGTCTGCACCTAGGAGCTGAGTTTTTAAATTTGAAATTACTATACTCACATACTGAATTTTGGACTTTTTAAATATAAATTTCAAAATTTTGTTACGGAAGGGGTAATTGTATAGTTTTGAATACCCCTACAGACCAACAAATCAAGATTATACAAATAAAACTATGTACATATAATACATTAGTGTTAAGAATGATGTGCCTTTCGGTAGTTTCAACTTTTGACCATTTTATAGTAAAATGTTACCATTTTTTATTTTTGAACATAGTATTATAGTTTTATAAAGAATATTTCTATAACACAAAATATACGGGGAGGGAGGAATTTAACTCAAGTGACGGAGCTATACTGTTCACGGGTAAGTTACTCGAATTTTGCTCAAAAATAAGACAATTACGCTGTTTTTGGTCCACTTTATATTATTTATATCTTTTTCTCGTACTTTTGGATACTTTAAGCGGCCAAATGAGACCAAATGAGTTCAAACTCAGAAATTTGAGAAGTTTACTTTCATTATGTATTTCATCGTATCATTTAGGGAGGAGGGTATTTATTCAGGTTTGTACAGTCCTATAGACCTCTAAAAAGAAGCTAGGGGAATACAATTTCGTAAGTTAGGTTTAGTAATAATTATTAGAGATGTGGTTTTTTGGGGTTTAATCTTTCAATCTCCAATCATTATTATAATCAAATTTCATGTTTCCACAGAAAATTTCCGATTTTAAATACCCTTGCAGGTCAAAATGTAATAATATTTAGGCATCCATAACATAAATCAATTATGAAAAAATTGGGAGGGAGGGAAATCCGACTCTGGTAACGCATATCTAACGCTCACAGGTGTTTTTTTATTTTATATAGGGAACGCAAAACTAACTGTTGCATGTAACCTGTTGATGAGGTCAACCATTTAGGATAAAACAAAATACTATAGTAATTCTGAACAACAAAATGATTAACATTTTTACTACACTTACCTAATATTCGTTTGCATCGTTTGATCTGCCTAACCGATAAACAATAACGGCGAAGGAAGGACGCGTCGCAACTTTCACTCGCAACACAAGGCCGACGACACAGACCGTTGTTGTCATGAATTCGCTCTGCAAAACATTATTAAAAACGTGTCCCCACCTTCCCACATAGGGTCATTCACCTATATTAATTTGACAAGACTATACGTTTGTATTACCAGTACTAGCATATCTATACTCTATAGTCAATTCATTGATTCGCAAGAGAAAATCGGTCAGTGTATGAATAATACAAAAAAGACCTATGAAATTACGAGATTGAATAAAAAAAAATGTATAATCGGCCAATAAACTATAATATACATTTAAAAATAGATAAGATATTATACAATATGTGATTGTTTGCAAATTTCGTGTAAATATCTAATTTTTTTAAAATACTTTCCAATAGTATACTCATTGGTAGAAACAATTACTTGCAAAAAATAGTTATTCACGTATATAGAAATGTGGAGTTTTATTGGAATTTTAATTGTGAATTTAAAATCGGAATATCGTTAAAATGTTTTGTACATAATTAACTAAATTGCAAAAGCATTTTACCTAAGCGTCTAACGTCAATGGGGTTATCGTAAAGGAGCTCTGAGAATTAAATCACCCCTTTGGTTTTAATTTTTGTTAAAGTTTTTACATTACATACCTAAAACAGTAATCAATATACTAGATCAGGGGTCACCAAATGACTGCCTGAGGGCTACATACGGCCCGTGGACTAATTTTATACAACCTGTAGACAAGTAGGAAAAAACGAAAATATAATGCGATATTTTAGATGCGTAATTTCTTATTTTTAAGCAAGATTTGTCATTCAGCCCACTAAACAATTATCTATTTTTATTATATTTAGGTTTAATTAATTTTTATTGTTTCATTTATTTGTAACATATATTCTTAATGTTTATAAACCATATCAAATAATAAATAAATAACAAAACAAATTATGCTATCATTACTTTCAATTTTGATTACCCACGAAAAATGTCCGGATTCCCAATATGGCCCTTCAAAAATATTAATTGGTGAACCCAGTACTAGATGTATATAACAAGGATTTATATCCAAATAAAATATAATTCAAATATATATATCCATAGAAATTTACCGATAGATCCAAAAGATGCGTCTGAATGAAATAGCTTTAAGCCAAGAAGAGTAGATCCGTTAATATACGATTTATAATTTGTTTCTTATTAATATCTATAATATTCTATCTACTAATTATCTATCAAACTGTTTTGATTAAATGTAAGAAAATATTATACTTGTGAACACTTTAAGCCCTACTACCCACCTGAAAATAGATCTGAGCTAATAATTTTGTACCACCCATGCTACAAAATTTTCAAAAATATTCAACTCTCTTAACACATAACTCAAATTATACCACGTTATATTATTTAATACATACAACATGAAAAATGTAAAATATCATATATTATCAAGCACATAACTACAACATAGATTTATAGGTGTCTAATGAATATTTTATAAGTGTTTTTTCAAAATTGTTGCTTAAGATAAAATAATATAATAATATTAAAACGTTGTTCGTTATATAACACAAAAAATTATTTTATCTAAGTTGCTGTAGTCCGATTATATTTTGCCTATTTGAATTATAGAAAAAGTTGTATAATTTAAAAAATTATATAATAGTCATATATAATAATTAATAATACGATTGTAGCACTTTTTTAGATTCTAAGCTCAGCGAGACATGTATTGGTTTTACTATGATCAGTGCTTTATTTTCTTCTATCTATGTAAAATGCATCGAAAAAATGTACAAATTTACTTCAATAAAAATGTCATTATTTTCGAATTTTTCAATTTTATTTTCCTACCAGATCTATTGCTTCACATTTCAATAATAATAATAGTATCTTTTCTGAAATAAAATGTTGACTAATAGATGTGTAAAAAAGTTTTTTTTTAATTTCCAAAGCAGTTTTCCTAATAATTTTTAAAACCGGGAAAAAACGTAGGAAAAATGGGAAAATTTACGAAAAGTATTATTTTCAATTTTCAGTGTTTTTTGTTGTAATTCAATTAAAATATTTATAGAGACTTTAATTTTGGACAGAATACTTATATTTATCTTTTCTAGATGTGTAAATTTTCAAAACATTTTATCCTTTTTGAGTTGTTTATAGATATTTTAGTTTTAAGTCTTTTACGTAATTTTTATTTGAAAGTACTCTGTGGATAAAATCGTTAAACCAAACAGAAATGTTTGATAAATTAGATAAGATAAGATATTCATTATAATCCGTACATTGTGGAATAAAAATGAATGTGACACAAAACTTTTTTTGAGAATTTCAAGTTTTAAAATTTGACGAAAATCTTGAAAATTATGTTTGTATCCGAACTCCACTCAAAATCGTAAATCATCAGCATTGGTTTATCGTAGCTTACAGATATAAATTAAATAACTTTATGTATCCTACCTTTTTAATTTCCCATCTATAATAATAACCCAATCATTAACAATATAAGCTCTTTTATACATTTTGATGATACCTATTTAAATAGTTTTGTTTAGAAGATTATAACATTCAGTACCAATATACAATTTTCAAATAAATAAAATAGAAACTGTTGAGAATATACTTACGTATATGTTATATTATAGCCTGAGGGCTATAACATTATACGTTCACGTGTTCAAAACAAAACTATACACAACTATAGATACTTTCAACTTCACAATAAGTGTATGTATTAAAAATAAAAAAACTGATACTGGAAACGAGTTTGTCACTGTTGTTCTGTGAGAAGTTGGGAAGGTAGGATACATACAGTTATTTTAATTATATCTGACATCTAGAAGCAACGATAAACCATTGTCAATGAAAAATTATTCGGAGTGAAATTCGGTTAATTTAGACTTATAATTGTAATAATTTTAAAATATTCAAGCATTTCTGTTTAGTCAAATAATTTTATCCACAGAGTACTTCCAAATAAAAATTACATAGAAGACTCTTAAAATTAAAATATCTAAAAAAAACTATTCAAATGTTTTGAAAATTTGATCTCGCTTAGAAAAAGAAAATATAATATTTTTGTCGAAATTTCAAGTCTCTACGAATATTATTAACTGAATTAAAACAAAATAGAAAATAATAAAAGACATTATTTTCGTAATTTTCTCGTTCTTTCTACGTTTTTTTCGGTTTTGCTTAATTGTTAAAAGAAGCTACACGGAAAATCAAAAATAGAATAACTAGATAAAATTTCCTTTTAGATAATTTACTACACTTGACACATTGGAGCAAGATTTCTAGTGAAAAAGTTGCTCACAGACACAAAAATTACAAAAAAAAAAAAATAGTAAAACCAATAGATCCCTTGCTACAATCCAAATCTAAAATATAGTTATACATTGCTATAAAATTATTATAAATAATAAACATCGGTATTGAACACGATAGAACAATGATACTTTGTTATACAGACGTTGTTTTGTGAATATCATGGTGTGGCCAAAAGTTTAAAAAAAATTACATTATTGATAAGAATTAAATGAACAATATTTATAAATCTCGTTATGTTCAAAATCTTAAAACTACCATAAATATTATGAAAAATCTATAATTATCATACAAAACCTATAAAATCATGTTTAAAAAAAATTTAAAAAATGCGTTCTAAAAATGTTGAAAATGATTTCCTTTACAGGCTTTATTAATATAAATTATAAACAAATTAAAAATAATTCAATAGGTACCACACTAATCTGTATGCATATTAAAATAGTATAGTTTAGGCAACACTATATTTTTATAGAAAATTATGATTCAATTATAAAAACGTTCTGAAATGACAGAAAACCGTATTCGTATAATTTATTTAATTTAATGCATTCAACACACCAATATAGCATTTTATTATATTATTACTGATGACTTTATTAAAACGTCAGATTAACCATGCCTATGCATACTATCCGATCGTATAAATGTAAAAGATGGACAAAAAAAGGTTTAATTTTATTCAAATATATGGCTTATTAATAAGAATTCCTCTGGATAATTATTATTATGTATTTAATATTAAATACTTTCTATAATGATAATCTTAAATACTTAAAAAAAATTAATCCAACAGCAATAATATCGATTACTTTATAAACCTTTCTCTTCTATATCCCCACCACTAGTCAATGACTATAGATTTACTCTCACCTTGTCCGAGCGCACACTGTTATATTGTTACTCGTTCACCGTTATATTATGCTATAGATACTATCCTATATTATGTACAAGTAATAGTAATTATAATACTACCATAATATTTTAGTTGTTAATATTTTTGTTTGATATACTTGAATATGTTCTAACATAAGGTGTCTTTTAATTACATACAGTATTCCATGATAGTAGTCGCTCCATAGATTATTATGAAGGGAAAAAAGCAAACTTACTATAGTAGAAAGGAAATTTAATGTATATCTGTACCCAAAAATTGATCATTGCTAACGAAAAACGATTCTAAGCGGAGTTTGATTTTACATATTTGAAAAGCTGTAATATTTACGATTTTCATCAAAATTTGATATTAAAATGTTTATAAAAAAAAAAATACTATATTAAACTTTTCTTTTTATTGTTGACCACTAAATAAAACTTATAATGAATAACCTTCTGTTAAATGTTCAAGCATTTTTATTTTGTCTAACTTCCATGGAGTAGGTACCTACCAAATAAATATTACATACAAAAAACTAGCAAAATTAAAATTTCTATAAAACCTCCAAAATAGCTCAAATAGTTTGAAAATATTACCACATATATAAAAGGCAAATATAATGCTGCTGTCCAAATTTCAAGCATTATTTTCGTAAATTTTCCCGTTTTTCCTAATTTTTTTTCCCGATTTTTTCAATTTATTGGGAAAATTCCTTGAAAAATCAAAAAATGATCTCCCTATAGTACCACATCAGGAGAATTCCCTTTCAAAATAGTTGCTACACATAATACTTTGGAGCAAGATTTCTGGTAGAATTTTTGCACACAGTATAAAAAAAAAAAAAAACATCATTATAAAACCAATACACGCTCTTCACTCCACTCAGAATCTAAAACAAATAAATATCATTGTAAAACCTGCAATACATTCCTCACTTCGCTCAGAATCTAAATAATATCACCGATTAAATTTAATTTTAACTTTAAATTAAGTTGTACATTTTAGACTTTGAGTGAATCAAGGATTAGTTTTGTTATGATGTGTGCTTTTTGTTCTGTCTGTAACCAATTTTTTTTTACCAGAAATCTTGCTTCGATACACTGCTTCAGAGGTGGTTTTTGGTTGAAAATGTTGGAATTTGAGAGGTCATTTTTAGTTTTTCCTTTTAGTTTTCTTAATAATTAAATAAAAACCAATAAAACCCTTGGAAAATGGAAGAATATCCGCAATAAGGGTTTCTAGATGTTATTTTGTTTTTCAATTCAATTCATAATACAAAAACACAATTTTTTAAAACTATCTGGGTGTTTTTGAGCTGATTAAGCTATTTAAAATTATCGAGGTTTTTAGGTTTTTAATTAGTTTTATGTTGATAGAATTGTTTTAACTCAATAAAATGCTCAAAAATTTAAGGACGAGGACGAGATCTTTCATAAGTTTTATATTTATTGGTAAAAAAAATATCTTAATGTAGTAGTTTTATTTTTATAATCACGACATTTCAAAACATATTCAACCGAAATTCGCTCGAAATCATTGTTGCGTACAGACATAAATTAAATTACCCAATATACTTATATATCCTATCTTCCCATCATCTCTTTCATTAACTGTATTAGGCTTTTAAATATAATTTAATTAACTGATGTGGTTATATTTTAAACACTATCCTACGTGATAATTTGTTTGGATTAACTTTGTTATTATTAAGTACCTATCTAGTAATAAATAATTGTATTTATTTTAGCAGACGTACAGACCTACATATTATGTACAATAATAAACTTTTGATTGACGTCAAACAGATCATACCTGCACGATTATATTTTATATTATTATGGTATATACCTAGATAGGTTAGGTTAGGTTGAAGATAAAAAAAATTAATTTTTAAACTATTACCTATTTATAGTTTATAATAATGATGATCTCTGCTATTTTTCCAAATGTATTAAGTACATACAGCTGACATTTGTTCGTAAACATTAATATAAGAAACGATAGGTTGAAACTAATTTATCCAGGATAATTCATTAAGCATGCTCCCAGTTTTTCCAATTTATTGGTAAAAAACCTGGGAAAATCCATTACCTCCCAAAGGTACCACCCTAGTCAGATTTTCTTTCAAGTGCTATACTTGAAAATCGGTGCCAAAATGCTGGTAGAAAAGTAAAGTTGTTTACAGATGAAAAAATGATTTTCTGTGCGAGACCGAAATCTGGTAACCTCTGAAAACTTTTAAATTCTATTTTTCAGCTTAATGCGCTTTATAACTTATTATATTTTATACATAAATATACGTTTACTAAATGGTGACAAAATTATTTGCCCCGGCAATATCTTGCAGGTGTAGGCATAATTTAATAATTATTTTTATAAAAATAAAATATAATTAGGTTCGTATTTTGTCTTACCATTTGTTTCTACATTATATAACCCTACGAGACATGCAATATTATTACTCACCATATTTATTGGTTGTTAATCTAATACGGTTTGAAAATAAGTAAAATTAAAAATTAAGCCACAGTAGAAATAAGGTTTTTTGAAGTGAGGTTAGGTTCCTAAGTAAATAAGTAATTACTCAGTAACATGCCAAAGTAGGTTTTGTTGAGACGACTGTCTCATGACAAAAATGGGCGGGTGGCTGATCAAATATGTTGAATGTTGATTAAGATTGACTAGATCAAATACTTGAGATGCCTTTAGTTTTGTGTATTATATTATTAATACGCCTACTTACGAATATAATAGCCTATATCAACGGTTTTCAAATTGGAGGGCGTGCCCCCCTAGGGAGGCGTGACAAAATTTCAGAGGAAGTGTGAAGATGTTAAAAAAAACACGAAACACGAAAAATGAAAACGTTATTTCTGATTATACTCGTCTACAATGACATATATATATATATATAAATATTATACATACATCAATCTTATAGTAGTGAGGGAATGGGGCATGAACTCATACAATGGTTTTAAAGGGAGCGTAGACCTCAAAAGTTTGAAAACTCATGACCTATATTATATAGTCAATATAGTTAAATAAAGTTGTTGCTGATATTATGTGAATACATGTAAAAATCCATGTTTTGATTGGGTGGGTCCTAATTTATTTTTTTTTGCCTCCAGTATGAAAAATGTTCAGCACGCCACTGATCCTAGTACCTGACTTTAAAATTTCGATTTGAAAATTACGTCACAAATTAGATAGTAATTTGTTATAATTTTTATTCGAAATTAGGAATTTGTTACCCCATTTTAATTCTTCAATAATGGCTTCTTAATTTCTGGTGGTAAGGAAAGCTTGCCCCAACACCCGTATCGGTAAACATATACTTAGAGATACTAACTGTTACGAATTTTCCAAAACATTTTGATGACTTTTGTGGTTTCATTATGATTTGTACCGATATGGGTACAGAAATAAACTACCCTAAGTACCAGATATTTAAAAGACAGTTTAAAGGTTAAATATGGAATAATAAATTCTGAAATTCAAGTAATAAATTACAACAAATTATTAACTAATTATTGAAATGAGTTATGTATAATGGAGCACTAATACTCATGTATAAAAAGTGTTATCCTATAGCTACCCTTTGTTAAAATAATGAATATTGTAATTATGTAATTAGGTACTGGCCCCTTGTCCCATTTCCTTGGTAAAAAAGAGTAGACATTTTTAAATGATTTTATAGGTTGATAGCATCACGAGACTATTTAATATTACAATAGATATATGAACAAAAACAAAAATACTTTATTTGAAACAATACGCTACATACGATGTTCTATTCATCCATTTTTTAAAATTTTGACCGCTCGTCTTAAGACAAGCAGATCATCTTATAATACTTTATACAGGATAATTTAATAAGCGTGCTTACTTCATTTTTTTTTGTTAAATTTTGCTTATATTTAAATTCTGATTTTTGGAATTTTTAATTCTCATTTTAAAAACTAAATTTGGTATCACCACTGAATACTCATTAAATGTTTTGAAAAATCTAAGTATTCGAAAATATCAACTTTAATTACACTGAACAATTCCAAAAATAAAAATTTGAATACAACCCGAATTAAATTGAATTTAACCCGAAAAATAGGGTAAATACGCTTAGTGAATCATCCTCTATATATGTATCTTAGGTACCTATAAACTTCACACCTATGCAGTAATAGTCTTCCCATGATGCGAAATATTTACGGTCCTTTTTTTTTATCGTGCATAGTATTATACATTACGAATAAATGAAACCAGTCTTAATGGATACCTGTGTATAAGTCGTACAACGGACACCTCTCTAATGGACAAAATAACATGATCCCGGCAAAAATATAAGTAACGTATTTATATGTATTTCAATTGTACAACAGACTCTTCCTAAAATGGACTTCCTAAACAGTAATAATTCTCTTCGTTGGCATAATAACGAATAATAATTTTACAGTAAAACAAAGAAAACAAACGAATTATCGCGATCCAATCGTTCAATCAATTAATTTTTTATAACTAAAAACGATAACGTTTATTTCGTGGTCAATATAAATTAAATATTATATTTTATTATCCTATTTTAACCAGAACCCGTAATTTCGCGTTGCTTATTCTGAGTAAGTGGTTTTTTTCTTTGCAAAGGCACCTCATGTTCTATGAAAATCATTCGATTTAAAGCAAAAAGTAGAACAATTATGATGCAAAGATAAGACGGACATGTTTGTTGGTCCCGCGAGTATCCATTATTATTGTAGGTTTTATAGTATATAAATTGTATAATAGAGAGTATTAAGTATACCTTTTGAAATTATATTAGTCATGTTCTAAAGACATGTTTACGAGTTGGACACCTTGGGCAACCGCAGACGTGCAAATAATCTCTGTTTTTTGGCCAAACTATTACACGGACAAAATTATTCGCTCTACTTACTATAGTAGCTTTTTTTAATATACCTTATCGTTCTTCCTGTCAGTCAATACCATTTTCGCTCTCTACCTTTACCACACATTATGGTCTTAGTGAACCACTACACCACTGTATGTCTATAGCCATTTCTGCCCCTTGTTCTCTTTATCGTAAGTAATTTATAAATTGTTATTGTTTTCATAATACTGTATTATTATTATTATTTAAATGTACTCATTGTAAATTGAATAAAAAGCTGTGATTACATTATAAATATAAACTATTAGGTATACAAGAATACATAGTTCAATGTTAACCCTAATTTTACCTGCATTTTGTGAATTCCCATACTGGTGACCTTGACGGAATAAAAACAAGAGTATGATGCTTACTGCGCATAACGTTTATTATCTTATTCACTCGATTCTCCGTGAACCAGCGCCCACCATATTTCCAACACCACATCTGAAATAATAATGTGCGTCAGTAAATTATTATATATCAGAGATATTCGTGCAAATAGTATTTTTATATTATGAGGTTTGATTTAAATAAAGAAACATTTAATATATATACATACAGAGTGTATCTTCAAATTTTTCAAAAATAATAAAATAAAAAGTTGTTTTTTTAAGCGTTTATAAAGCAAAAAAAAAAAATGAATTGCAATATAAATATTTGCAATCCTTATCCCTGTAATATAAAAAAAAAGAATCATCTCCGGAGATATAACAATGGGTATATAATCGTGGGGCACTCTGTATACATATTATAAACAATATCATATTTTATATAGAACGAAGAAAATAGCTTTTTACATTGAATGAATAATAATAATAATAATAATAATAGGTATATTTTTACGTGCGTAACTTTAAAGTTACTTACAGTGCGCACATTATAATGTATAAGGTATAACATAAAATAATTGTTTTTTCTCAATATTGTTATTTCACAATATATCACAGCAATGGCTGATATAAGTTTAGAACAAAATAATTTTTCGAATTCACTGATTGACATATTGTTATTGAAAACAAAACTTTTAGTGGTTTTTTGAAAAAAAAATGAATATTGTTTCGAGATATTTTGTTATCATAACATTATATTTCAATATTATAAAAGTTACACCGGTATCGACCGGTGTAACTTTTATACGATATTCGTACCTAAATTGACATCTATTCAGACAGCTACAATAAAACTTGACAAATAAAATAAAATTAATAATAATATAATGTTGTACAGCTATAGGTATATAATATGTAAAATTTGGTAATAAATTTTGTAGACAAAATAATATGACTCACATGAAATGAACTAATAGGTACAAAAAAAAAATAAATATAAAAGAAATAAAATTTCAAAAAATATTTACACATCTGTTTTAAAAGTATTTAGTTATTCATTCTAGTTGTAAATGGTTGTAGTATATTATATAAAGTAAAAAATATATTTCAATACAAAACGTTTACTGACAATCAATTTATATTTTTTTATTTTTGATTCAAAACGTCAATGTTGTATTTATAATTTACAGGACAGTTAAATTTATTTTTTGTAAAGGCAAAATAACAAATGATCTCATTGAAATGTATAGGTTTTATTAAATAAGTACCTAATAACATTTAGATTATTATTATTTATTGCCTACTATTTAATTTCTGTTTACTATATACTATAATAAAACCTGAAGATTTTTTTACAGTTTTTAGCACTCAGCTTAATAATGAATATTATTTTTACACGATTATTTTAAATGATTAAAAAGTCGATACAAAAATGTCTAAAACCACATTTCAAAAATACAAGCAATTTATCAGATGCATATTAAACACAATCTAATATTATTTAAAACAAATATGTACGACTAATAATACTCAGGTACGCACTCTTTGACAGGTCATCTGAGTAAAAATAATAATATTATCAGACTTGTAACAATGTCTATTGTTCAAGGACTATAAAATATTGTAAATGTGATTTTTGGTGTTAATACCTAATCAACAACACACAAAAGTCAAATATTTAAACGACGATAATATTATTTATATTATTATTTCGGAAATAATAATAACATATTATGACAATTATAAACAAATATGAATTTTTATTGTTATTTGTAAATTATATTAGTATAGAAATAAGTAAAAAGTTCCTAATACTATATTTTTGATAAAATAATATAATTTATGACCGGATAAAGGGTCCAGAACTTGTTCAACTTGAAAACCCTCTTTATACTTGTATATATTTTAGGTAAATATTTTAATGACAAAATTGTTTAAAAAACATTTTATTAACATAAATTATGACGAAATGGCACCATTTAAATCTCCTTTGCCTTTATTTAAGTTTGGTGATAATGAATACAATTTTATACCTACAATTTATAATTCAAATACCTATAGCTATTTGATGTTTATGCTCGGCGACTCGACTTGCATGTTTACCCGCTTCGATCCACGAACAAGGTTTAAACGTGAATAAAATAACACCCAGTAATCGGTACACACATTGAAACTACTATTATATTATATTTGAATAATCGTAATAATGTAAACAAAAACAATTAACAGAGCCACAGAGGAAATAGTCACCATATATGGACACCTGACGCATGATCGTTAAAAAGTGTTATAACCACGTGATCAACATGATGTATAAAAAGTATTATTTTCACATTTGCTACCTTATAGTTTACACCTTTATTAACGAAACGTCTAAACAGGATACAAACAAAAAAACCCGACTCATCAAGTCATAAAAACCCCATTTACGCTCAATATTATTCTCCAACGAAGGTGTAGTGTCCACTAATATAATCTTACTGAAGTCTGTGTTGATAACCTACTGCAAAATAAAGACCATAATAAATAATACTATTATCATGTTGCTCGCTATAACAATAAAACTGCCAACTGATGGTAAACACAATGGATTCCAATAGATTCAAAAAGTAAAACATAATAGAAGTTGGCTTATAATTTATTTTTCTTATCAAAAAAAAACATTTTAAGAACTAATTAATATGAAACTCGATTTAAAAAAAAAAAAATCAAACTAGTATTCTAAAAAAAAAGAGGGGATTAGATTTTATATTACGTTAATGGTGAATAATTCACGGATTGAATATAGTCAACAACGTTTTTACCCATCAAGAAATCTACACTAAAGTGTCGCAAAGTCGACAATCAATTTAAAAAAAAAAGGTTCCTTTCTGGAACAAAAGTTGTGTGAAATTATGCAGCAGAGTAGGGACGAAAATAGTCTGTGACATGAAATTTATAACACGGAACAACTACATGTTCAAGAATAGTTTTAACAGCCAAGTTATTTTTTTTTTTTTACACTACTAAATATACTGAATAAAATATAGAAATAACCTAAATATTAACGCTAATGTACTTCAAGTTGGTACCAGCCATGTCTTGGTAAATTATGAAATTATACCCAGAGTTTGCCAAGAGCTTACTAAATTTTGGTAGGCAATTTTTAGAATTTATCAAAATTATATTTCCTTATATTTCGCAAATAAACACGCCAGTACTTTATGACAACACCGATGCCATTATCGTCATAATACTGAAGATCTGCATATTTAATTTTTTTTTCACATCAAAATGACTGTCGGAATTTGTCAGATTTTTTTAGATTATTTTCAAAATTTGCTATTAATTTGTTTTAATCCCAGAAAATTCACACTGACACATAGTTTAAATTCATTGAATGATGTATTGAAATAACCTTTGAAATTTGACAGACTCTGTCGAGTTATTTTTGAAATTGTTACTGTAATTTTTCTTTCCGAGGAGGATACACCAAAAATAAGCTTAATTGCAAATTACATAGTATACCTTTAATAGCATATCTGATTATAAAATAAATAATAATAATTACATTAATATACCAAACATCCAATAAGTATAGATATAGTTATAAAAACTGTATAAACTAAAACAACCACATTGTTTTACATTTAATGATTTTAATGTGTCCACTATATTGTGACAAAAAATAATATTAGTTACATACATTTGACATAGGTATCAACTATATTATAATTTACAAATACAATGTGTCTATTGATTCCAACGAAAAGGCGAAAAATACGAAGAATAATATCTATTTGATTACACAAGGACGTAGCCAGGAGGGAGGGGATTTAAGGGTTCAGATCCTCTACCCCCGAAATTATTTCTTAACATAAAATTGAATAATTTTAAATATCTATTACATTTGAAAAGTGTACATGTGTCTCAGTGATTACAAGGTACAAGTAAATAAAAAGATAAATTGAATTAATATATAATTAACTGTGATTAGTATTATTTATATTGTAATAGATAAACAATAGCCTTAATGTACTTTCATAAAAAACTAATAATAATTAATCGAATTACAATTATTTATAGACCTCTATTAAACGACTTTTCACATCTAAATGAACGATTAGATAACAAAAAAGAATTAATAAAAAGCTTGCAAAATGCAGGCATGTTATTTTAGCCTCAGGAATGTATTAGTTTTACATTGATATTTATTATTTTTTTGTTTTTAAATAAACTGTGTACACAAATTCTACATGAAATCTCCAAAGTATCAAGTATAGCACTTTTTCGGAAATGGAATTTTTCTGGGGTGGTACTTTAAGTTCATTTTTTGATTTTCCTAGGAGTTTTCCCAATAAATGGGAAAAAACGTAAGAAAAACGGGAAAATGTACGAAAATAATGCTTTTATTATTATCAATTTTGTTTCTGTTATTTTAATTCAGTGAAAAATATTCGAAGAAACTTGAAATTTGATAGAGATATCATATTTGCATTTTATAGATGTTGTACAATTTTCAAAACATTTGAGGCATTTTTAAGTTATTAGACATTTTAATTTTTCGAGTTTTTTACGTAATATTTATTCGGTAGGTACACTGTAAATAAAATTGTTGGGCTCAACGGAAATGCTTAACAGTTTAACGGCAGGAGGTTCATTATAAGTTGTACTTAGTAGTTATTAATAAAAAGACGAGCTTCATAAAGTAATTTTTTTTTATTAACATTTTAATATTAAATTTTAACGAAAATCGTAAATATTACAGCCTTTCAAATATGTAAAAGCGAACACCGCTTAGAACCGTTTTTCGTTAGTAATGATTAATCTTTACGTACAGATATACATTAAATTCCCCCCTATATCCTACCTTCACAACTTTTCACCTACAATCATGGCCCACCCATCGTGCGAAAAATGCCCGTCTTTTTACTCTGCGCGCTATGGATTTCTTAAAGAATGTGACATTCGCGACAAAAAGGTATTGAAATACAATTGGCTTGTTAAGACCGAAATTTACTAGAATAGACGTAGGTACCTACTCGATTTAATGGTACCTACAATATCTTTAATAATCGTCTAATTTTAATTAATATCACTTGCATAGATACAAAAGGTTACGAATGACGGTCAAATTCGCATACACCACTATCACGAATTAATATAACAATATCTTAACATATTATCTTAATTCGTGAGTCGGGACCACTATTAATAACCATGATTAAAAAATATTGCATAAACATATTTTGACTAGATGTTTTGTAGTGAACTAGTGATGAATAATAACGGTGTGTAAAATATTTTTCAAGAGATTTGAAAATTTGTTCGTAACAAATTAAATTGTAAATAATTCGTGTATTTGCCGAATTTAATTCGATAACAATTTGAGGTAAATCATGAAATATAATCTTAAAAATCTTACCCATTTAATAGATTATATTATATTATTATATTGTATATGTAGTATCAATAATCATTCAGAAATAAATCCTCACTATAGCCTATAATTTAGGTAATAGGTAGGCAGCAAATTTGTTTACGGATTATATGTGCATCAAAGAGGCCATGTAATAAATGTGTAAGTATTACTATTACCTATCTAAATGCAATGATCTGCATAATTTGTTTGATCAGAAGCTATTAAATTTGGCAAATCATATTAGTTACTGCATAAAAAAAAATAAAATAATTAATTCGGTTCTTTACAGAATAATTATTATCATAATTTAATAATAATTAGTTACAGGGTATTATTATATAATTAATTTGCAAAACTTAATTTTACTTTTAACATACATTAAATATGAATAATGTTATTGTTATTGTAGGTACCTATATCAGTTTTAATACATCCATTATTCATTTATCATTTATCGACGTATTATGTTTATACCTGTATTAGTTTTATTAATAATAATAATTTATTGAAGAAAATAAAAGTTCAAATGTAGAATGAATAATAACCGACCTATTTAATTTTATCGGAAATAATACAATTCAGTGTATTTTTTAAGAACGTTGATTTTCTGTGTCCAAGTGGACCCAGTCACTCAGTAGAAAAACATTTTGATAATATTGTGTTTCCACTAGAAAATAAATGGTAAATAATTAAATTAGTAGATTATGTAACAAAATATAATATTTTATAATGAAAATATTCTCGCCAGAAGAAGGGGTAACTAAGAATGTCCAAAAGTTAAGGAAAATGTTTGATCTACCTGATCATTAAACTCTGTAGGGAGGGCTGGATACGTAGTGGATATTCACTAACAAAAGACCTGTGCATACAATCACAATTACTTACAAATACATATACATATATGTAATGTTATTTCCCCTGAATTAAAAAAAATATAGGCCGATTAATAACTGGTTTTACTATAAATTCAAATTGTATAATATTTCGAGAACAGGGTATATAGTATCAAAAATGACATATTATTGATAATATAATGTAATAAATTTTAACTATTACTTTCCTATAATTACATAAACTTTCCAGGAGAAAAAAAAACCAAAAAAAAATGTCATCACAATTGTAAACAAATATAAATTGTATACAATTATTAATGTTAATTGATTATTATTTCAACAACTAGGAGTCTTATAATTTTTGTAATTATTATAATATAGGTATTCATAGTAAGTATATTAATAGTATTGTTATATTGACGTCATTTTAATCGTTAGTTAGGTATGTATTGAGTACTAAACATATACTCGTATTTATCGACAAAAGGTTACAAGGTGTTCTTTTTCATAACCTATGTCCTATGTGTATCATATATATATTATTAATTTGATCTTATATATTTTTAATCTGAATATTATTACAAAAACTTACGTTGTCCCGTACATGCATTTTTTCAAAAAAGGTCACTTTATCGAATAAATATAATTTTCATACAATATGTATTGCACACATAATTATAAAAATAAAACCTATACTTACCAACGCATAATAATATTATCATTGACAAAAACTATGAATAGGTTTCCACGTGTTTTATTAAATATTGTTCGAACTATTACTACAGAAATTATGTTTATTACACTTGATTTCATATTAATTCGAATCGGTACCTACGCAAAGGATATAATTAATATGACGGTATCGGTATAATACCATACCGATTATAGATATAATATACAGTACCTACA